CAAAAAGGTCACGAATGGGTTAATGCTTCAACATAAACCAGAAACAAAGTAGCTCCTTTTGCTTTATTTCGATACTTCTAAAAGGTTACTGAGCAGATTAAGCTCAATTGTTTATTTCGATACTTCTAAAAGGTTACTGAACAGATTAAGCTCAATTTCCTCTAGGAGTGCCTTGACATTAGTGCTATTTAATTTTCAGTAGAAGTATAGTCATGTAATTAGGAAAATTAAACACAAAGGAAAAATATCATAGTCAACAGTTACTAGTGCCTGACATTGTCTATTCGTCGCAATATACGTAGACAATATCTATACTGAGACCAACGAAAAAATTTCTTAAGCATAGATACCTTAATCTAATTAAAATTGTCTAACAACAAACTATGAAAAGAACAAAACGCACCTCGTTTTGCGCCAGCGAAGTTTTAGATGTTTCGGCGGGGAGTAGAGAAGCAGCTTGCGTAAACCTTCACAACTCACATTAGGCGCAGAACTGTGTAAGTCAGGAAAAATTTCAAAATTCAAACATACCTGTTAGATAGATCGATATAGCTTCCTGGACGTTCCTTAACTAATTCCTTCGGCAGAAGAGAAGAAGATTTGAAGGGTAGTCCATGCACTATAGAAAAAATCACTTAACAAAGGAATACCGTTAGCAAATCCCTGCTACTCGGCAAGCAAAACAAAAGAACTGAAGCAGTAAGAACTGGATGATAATGTACCTGACTGTGTACCAGCGCCGTAATCAACAACTGGTTCATTTTCACGGCCTCTGAGCATACGCGAAAGGGCATGAACACCGAGCTGCTTCTTAGCTCCAGCCATATCTTTGCGTTCTAGTAGAGGGATGCAAAGTTATTTATGAAAGCCAAGGAGATTTTAATAAAAAGACAATGTACCTTTGACTTTGAACAACCTTTTCTGCCGTTCTAGCTTAGGTTTCCGACTGACAACTGGATTCAAATATTTGAACTAAAAGCGCCTTTTTAATTGAAAAAAAGAAAGCACTAAACTGTCAGCACATTACCTCAGCAAAAAGATCTCCTTGAGGCTCCATGTGTAAAACCATCCCAGCCTGTCCAGTAGGCTCGACGAAATTGCCCAATTTCACAACTGTGAATGCACACATAGATCGAGAGTCTCGATAGAAAACTTCGATTTCCAACTCCTTTGACTACAAAAAAGATATGTAGCTTTCCAAAAAAAGAACTGTAACGTGAGGATTCTAAGAGTCATGAATACAGCTAGTATAGATGACTAAGCTTTGCGTGATTAACTTACCCGGTCAAGATCTACGCTAAATCGCTGATCCCAAGCTTGTTGGCTCAAGGGGCGAGTCTCTGTAAGTCCAACTATCCGGCTATCAACGCGTAATAATGCAAGTACTTCATCGGATTGTCGCATTACCACACTAAAAATCACTTTGCGTAAAGTAATGTGGGCTACTACAATTAAAAAAAGAAAAGTTGGAAACACTACAAACCCGGATAAGTAACGATGAACACCTTTTACTCCAGCGCACTTAATATATCTACCCAGGTTTTATCTGGGGGACAGCTAGGCTCAATGAAAATATAACTGCAGTGCAAAGCAACTGCCCGCATTGTTTTAAAGGACTTATGCTGATGTATATTTTCGTGGGAACTTACGATCTCAAAGCATAAACATATTTACATGAGCCTAACACTGAAATGAATGGAAGATAATGATGACTCATTTAGTATCGCAAGACAAGCTTGCACTAAGCTATACAGCACATTTTGACTGCATAGCCAAACAGAACTCATAATTGAACAGTTTGTCATGTCGCAGCGCAAGTTAGGACATGCTTGGGACTACGTTTCTGCTACCGTCAAGACGGCTA